CAAAACTGACTGTAGCAACTGGAAGTAGAAAAATTAGATAGAATCCAAACTCCTCGAGAAATTGGTTTCAATCAAAACGGGTGCGATCTTGCACGAGATCTGACAGATGGGAAAATTAATCACATGAAAATTAGAAAATGACCATGTTCATTTGACGACCTGGTTTAACAACAACAGCTACCCAATATTCGGGAGAGCCTTTACCATACGTGTATTAATGAAAGGGATGAAATTGAAAGAAAAATGCAAAGCTTAAGGTCAAATTCGTAATAAATTAAGTGTAAGGATAGAATTTAAGAGAAGTAACATACGTCAAGGACACAAAATGTAATTAACTCTTATGCTAATCAATATATTATATATTCAATTACAAAGAAAATTATTAAAATAATTATCAGGTTTCTTTTTATAAAAGAACTCAAGAGATGATGACTTTATGAAAAGTGTAATGCACTAATGGTTTACCGAGACCTAAAGTTGTTAGTAATTAACTAAAAAGTATTTTATTTTTCTTACCATTTGTAAGTAAATACTCAATTTGTAGGGGTGCTTATGAGTTGGATTAATCGGGTTAAAGACATTTGAACAACCCAATGCAATACTTGCGGTTTGAAAAAACTTAACTCAACCCAAACCGTATGGGTTGGTCGGATTGGATGGGTTGATACGTTGGTACATTAAAATATTTTCTAACCTTGAATATGTTATTTCTCTACTCATAATTCATTTTTTATCATCAATTATTTAATACAATTTATTCATACTTCTTACGTATATCATATTCAGTTTATTTTCTCAATTTACATATATATGTTCACAACTACTGAACATATATACGAATGAGTTATATAAAAATGTGAATAGATTGAAAATACGTGTATATGAAGAACGTACGTGATAGTGTAATTTTTTAATGTATATATTAATAGAAATTCAACAACCATATTAGATCTAAGAAATAAAATGATATCGGGTTCATCAGGTTGGGTTCAAATAATAGTAACCCAATATCAACTCAATACATACGAATTGTTTTACAACTCGATTACCATCAGATTTTTTCAGGTTGAGTTATTTTGCGTTGAGTTGGGTTGGTCGGGTTTTGAACACCCCTACTCAATTGTGTTTCTATTAAGTAAGAGTAAATTACATGTTTTGTCCCCATGGTTATATGTTTCTAACGGATTTCATCCCATTTTCAAAAAATCATGCTTCCATGGTTGTAATACAATGGACTTAAGTCCCTACCATTCAATGTTATGTTTGACTGTTAAGTTGTCGAGATTTGAGACATACGGTACAACATATCACATCAGAACCCAAATCCATCGTTGTTGCCTCATAGGTAAATTAAAGTAGATGAATATTTTGTGCTCATGTTCCTACCGTAACTCTTATTCTCATCGAAACTCAAATCCAATATCGTTGCCTCTATCTCCAGTTGAAATTTTGTTGGTACTTGTGATGCCATTTCTTACACACTCTTTCTACCTCAACCCTAACCAGCTAATAACGATGGATCAAAACCTTTGTCATTTCAATCAATAATCATCCCCAATAACTTTGTTTAGTAGCCAAAATCATAGACAATTCACTAGACGTTCAAACAATTCACGAATAGAAGCTTTTGAAAGGAATGATTCAACGCTTATTATTGGCCTGAGAAATGAGTGGGCATGGCTGAGGGGCATCGAAGATGGGCAAATAGAGAGAGACAGAAAGAGAGATTTTAATATTTTGGGTTTTCTTTTGCAAAAAAAAGAAGTAAATAACGGGAAAATATAAGATGACGACATTCATTTGACTGAAGTTAACCGAAAAAGATAACGACTGTTAGTGGGATGGATGAAATCTAAGAAAAACTGTGAACTTTAAGGTCAGATTTGTAATAAATTAAGTGTAAAGATGAAATGCAAGAAAAGTAGAAAGTTAACATAGGTCAGGGACACAAAATGTAATTAACTCTTTTGTTAATCTCATTCATCAATAATATATTATATTGTTGCACGCGTTGTAAAACGTGTTGTACGCGTCGTAAAACACATAAAAAGGTTTAAATTTATAAACGTAACTCAAAACAGTAAAGGGTAAGTCAGATATCGTTCTTCTCAGGGAGTCAGTGGTGAAGCTAATTATTTGTGTTAACTGAATACACATGTGTCACTTAGATAGACTATTCAGTTAAATCAATAAAAGCTCAAGACTCGAAATTAAAATCTAAATATTACAATTATCACTTACATAATCAAGCTTTGGAAGGAATTGCGTTAAAATTAAGAAACAGATAAATAGAAAATCTATTTTGGCTTTTTTATAAAGAAAATAAATTGAGAAAACAAGTTCTAATGATGAAAAAAAAAATCAAGGTCAACTGTACGTTACAAATCCAAGTGTTTCACCAATTCAATTTGTTTTCATGCAATGTTCAATTTTAAATATATTGCGTAAATCAACATGTTAAAGGACCGATCCAACCCTCAACATAACCTATGCCTATCCAAACCAACCGTCCTCCCACCTACACTATCGTGTTCAGTACGGTCGAGTGATACCAATGGACTATCCAAGTTATGCCAACCAAAAACTAAAACACGTTTAGTTTAAACACATATAGATGTACCACAGATTAACCATTAAGTCTCGACAAAATTAACCTCTCACATTCTGTCCTAAACGACATATCCATATATTTTATAGAAAGTAAAACCAAAATATAACTGATAGAAACAAATCGGAATTGGATCGCAGACGGGTTTTCACGTCAGGTTGGCCTCGAAACTGATTAGCCTTGCATAATTGTTACGGGAAATCAGATATTCTCTTGTTGTTTCTTCATTATTCCGACAACAATATACAAAAGCAAAATTTAATATTGCAACAAACTTTTAGAACAAACCCTATATCCAACAACCAAAACATTCAAGACAATTCAAGTAGCAACACCAAATATCATCCCAACAATACTTTAAAGTAATCCCTATATATAATATGTATAAACACTTCAAATCAATGAAATCGAAACTCAACCACGAAACTGAACCTCATAAATGCAGCAGCAACTTCTGTTTTTGATGTGTTTAGGTGCAACCAAAACAGCCCTAAATCGAGCCTTCCTGTGAATCTATATATCGATCTCTAATCAAATCAGAAAGTCGCACCCCTTTACGGGATGGTACTTACTTTCATACAGGTGCTGCATGGCTGTCGTCAGATGACCGCGTACGTGTTTTGATGTTCCTGTCGGTTGATGTTTTTTAACCACCGAAACCCCTTTGTGATTTTCTACGTAATCTCCACTCACGACGACGCTCCTCTTTTTTTCTTTTTGACTCTTTATCTCTATAAACCCCACGATGAGTCATAAAAAAAAAGGTAATAGCAATCTCCTCGTCTCATTGCGTTTCTTTTTCCTCAATGTCCACTCCTCTTTTTTCGTTTTTCTTTTACTTTCTAGCAGCACGTTTTTGTCTTCGACGTCAATTTCGCCTTAGATGTAGCTTAAATCTACAGAAACTCAAAACTTTAAAGTTGTAGTTCCGTTTGTTGGATTTTCAGATCATCTTGAATCAATTAAATCCGAGCTCAAATGAGTGAGATATGCTCGAAATATCATAGCCTCGTAAAGCTGTCAAAAACCCTATTTTTGTCTAGTTTTCGCTCCAAACTTTTCGGAACCTATCAAAATACAAAAACACATTAATGTAGTTCGGTTTTACCATTTAACGCATTAATTAGGGGTAATTGACGACATAATGAAGTCGAAATTAGCGACGGATTAATAATGTGAGGGACACAAACTGTAATCAACTCTTTTGCTAATTAATCACATTCATAAATAATATTATATATATATATATATATATATATATTCGATTATAAAAAACATTTATTATAATAATTATCAAGTTTCTTTTAACAAAAGAGCTTTAAGAGACCAAGACTTTATGAAATGGATAATGCATGATGGTTTCCTGTACCTTAATTAAGAAGTTAAGGCTTCGGTTTGATCATCTTATGAACCATAGAATTATTAGCATTACGGACCCATGATTGTTTTCGAAGCTGGTGTATCTTTATAGTGGATTAAAAGTCCGTAAAATTGGTCGTTGATGTTTTTAGCCGAATCCCCACCATTTCGAGAGATTTTTTAAGTTTTTGGCTCATTTTCACTACAACAAAATTGGGTTTATAGGACACCCCCAATCTCTAAGCATTCAAATAGACCGTTTTATAGGATTTAATTTATAGAACCAAAATATAAAGCGTCCTATCTAAATGTATTGTAATAAGTTTATATGACGCTTTTGTGCATCTTAACAAGTTTTTTAGGACATTTTTAAGACAAAGTGTCGCATTAGCAACTTTATAGGACACTTTTGAGAAAGTGTCATGTAAACTCATTTTTTATAGAACACTTGCTTTTATAGTACAATTTTTCAAATAGTGTCCTATAAAGTTGCTAATGAGGGGCTTTATATTAAAAGTGTCCTAAAAAACTTATTACGACGTCAAAAAACGTCATATAAACTTATTACAACGCCTTTAGATAGGACACTTTATTTTTTTGGTCCTATAAATTAAGTCCTATAAAGAGGTATATTAGGACGCTTAGAAATTGTGAGTGTCCTATAAATCCGATTTTGTTGTAGTGATCTTTATAGTGGATCAAAAGCCCGTAAAATCAGCCGTTGTGTTTTTAGCCGAATCCCACCATTTCCGAGAGATCTTTAAGTTTTTGGCTCATTTTGATAGACTTTTCGGTTTTTTTTGGTTTATTTCGAGATGTTTTTTTGGTTTTCTGGTTAATTTCAAGGGTTGTCGGTTTTTTTGTTGATTTTCGTTGTATACTCCAACATTCCCGAATAAGACTCAAAGTTTAGCATTTCCACACCAATCAATTTTGATAATATTAAATTTGCATAAAGGAATAAAACGACAAACATTGTCTATAAATTAAATGAGGTATTCGACCATTTTTTCATTCACATCAATAACCAAGTATGGATCCTTTCTTGTCACACCTTTTCCTATTCCTTGTTGTTTTCACCATGCTTCTCATCACAAATGAATCCACTTTGCACAATTTTGCTTCTACTTTTTCTAGTTCTAAACAAGATTATGATCTCATCGAGTGGAAATCCAGCCTTGAAAATCATGTGTCCTTGTCCTCATGGTCATTAACTCCTCCTAATTACTATAATTCTTCGACCAACGTAGCTTCATGCAGTTGGTTTGGAGTTTCTTGTCACTCAGATGGAAGCATCAAGAAGTTGAACCTCTCATCATCTAGTTTGAAAGGTACACTACTCAAGTTCTCATTTTCATCATTTCCTAATCTTATTTTGCTTGATTTGAGCAGAAATGAGTTTTTTGGACACATTCCGTCCCAAATCAGTCAACTCTCGAAGCTTTTCTATCTTAATTTTTGTGATAATCAATTCTCAAGAGAGATTCCACTAGAAATTGGGAATCTAACCTCGCTCTCTAGACTTTGTTTGCGGGGAAACAATATTTCCGGTCGTATTCCTGATGAGATAGGGAATTTGAGGTCTCTTGAATATCTAAATATTGCCAGAAATCATCTAGATGGTTCCATTCCTCATTCTTTTGGGAACATGAGCTTGCTCACTACACTTTGGTTGGATAGAAATGAACTTTCTGGGCCTATTCCTTATGAGATAGGGAATTTGAGGTCTCTTGTAAATCTAGGTATTGAAAGAAATCATCTGAATGGTTCCATTCCTCCTTCATTTGGGAATCTAAGCTTGCTCGCTACACTTTGGATGGATTCAAATGAACTTTCTGGGGCTATTCCTCATGAGATAGGGAATTTGAGGTTTCTTATAGATCTAGATATTTCCAAAAATCATCTAGATGGTTCCATTCCTCGTTCATTTGGGAATCTGAGTTTGCTCACTACACTTCTTTTGTACGCAAATGAACTTTCAGGTCCTATTCCTCATGAGATAGGGAATTTGAGGTCTCTTGTAGATATAGAAATTAACAAAAATCATCTGAATTGTTCAATTCCTCCTTCATTTGGGAACCTCAGCTTGCTCACTACACTTTATTTGTTTCAAAATGAACTTTCTGGGCCTATTCCTCATGAGGTAGGGAACTTGAGGTCGCTTGTAGATCTAGAAATTTCCATAAATCATATAGATGGTTCAATTCCTCCTTCAATTGGAAATCTGAGTTTGCTCACTATACTTAACTTGGAAAGTAATGAACTTTCCGGACCTATTCCACACGAGCTAGGGAATTTGGAGTCACTTTCAAGTTTACAATTGCACAACAACAAACTTTCTGGAAATTTGCCCGATAACATGTTCCTACATGGAAAGATTCAATACATTTCTTTGTCTGACAATGCGTTCAAAGGTTCAATCCCACAAAGCCTTCGAAATTGCTCCGATTTAATTAGAATTTGGTTTGATGGAAATTTTCTAACAGGAGATATTTCTGAAAGTTTTGGCATACATCCGAAATTGTATTATGTAAACCTTGCAAGGAACTATTTTCATGGGGAGTTGACTGATAAATGGGGTAAGTTCAACAAACTTGGAACCCTCAAGATATCTGAAAACAATATCACCGGTACAATTCCCCAGGAACTTGGAGATTCGGTTATGCTACAACATATTGATCTCTCTTCTAATCAATTGGTTGGAAACATTCCTAAGAAATTGTGTAATCTAAAGGATATGTTACACTTGGATCTTAGCAATAACCAGTTTTTTGGCCTAATACCGAAAGAGCTGGGATTGATGACTAAACTTTGGAAACTTGACCTTTCAAGAAATAAATTGAGTGGAACAATTCCAGAATTTCTTGTAGATTGTGAGCAACTTGATTCCCTAAACTTGAGCCACAATGGTTTAAATCATGAAGTTCCACTTCAAATTCTAAAGCTAAAAAATTTGAGGACTCTTGATCTAAGCCATAATTTGCTTGTTGGTGAGATCTCATCCGAGTTTCAAAGTCTGCAGAGTATAGAAGTTCTTAACCTATCCCACAATCACTTCTCTGGAACTATTCCTATGGAAATTATGGGTATGCGTAGCTTAATTTTTGCAGATGTCTCCTATAACTATTTAGAGGGTCTTATCCCCAAGTGCAATGCATTCACTAATGCTTCAATGCTAGAAGGGAACAATGGGCTATGTGGTGACATTGTTGGATTTAAACGGTGCACAACGTCAAGAAAACACAAGTACTTCATGTCCCTAGTAATTGTGTTTAGTATTTTAGGAGCACTTGTATTTCTATGTACCGTCATAGGGCTTGTGATATTTTATGAAAAAAGAAAGAGAATACCTACAAGCGAAGTACTTCAAGAAGATCACCGAAGTTTGTTCTGCATTACCAACTTTGATGGAAAATCATTATATGATCAGATCTTGAATGCGACAAACGATTTTGACAATGAGTTTTGCATTGGAGAAGGAACACATGGTATTGTTTACAAGGCGATTCTAGGATCAGATTGGATAGTAGCTGTGAAGAAAGTGCACTTGCCATTGCAACAATCTAAAAATGCAACTTTTGTTAATGAGGTGACAACATTAACAAATATAAGGCATCATAACATTGTGAAGCTTTATGGATTTTGCTCACATGCCCGTCACTCATTTCTGATTTATGCTTATCTTGAACGGGGTAGTTTGAAAGCAGTGCTAGATGAAGAAAACGAAGCAATGCGATTAGATTGGAGTAAGAGGTTGAATATAATCAAAGGAGTGGCAGACGCTTTGTCGTATATGCATCATGATTGTTCACCCCCAATTGTTCATCGTGACATATCAAGCAAAAATATTTTGCTAGGCTTGGACTACGAGCCTCATGTTTCGGACTTTGGCACCGCCAAATTTTTAAAGCTCGACTCTTCAAATTGGAGTGAGCTTGCAGGCACATATGGATATATTGCTCCCGGTAATGTTTATTACTTCAATTAGCTGAAACTTGATATTAAGTTTATCTAACCATTTGGTCATATTGCATTCTCATTTGTTTTTATTTTAATTCAACTTATATTTTTTTATCGTAGAGTTTGCTTACACGATGAGAGTAACTGAAAAGTGCGATGTGTATAGCTTTGGGGTTTTGGTACTTGAAGTGATCAAAGGACAACACCCTCATGATCTTATTGCAGTTTTGTCATCTCCGTTCTCTGAAAAGGTGGATTTAAAGGATTTGATGGATCACCGTGTTGCGCCCCCTTCGTTACAAACTAAGATGATATTGGAGTCCGTGATAATGGTCGCAATTGAATGCCTACAAACCATTCCAAAAAGAAGGCCAACAATGTATCAAGTCTCCACGCGCCTATCGGCCCTTGGTTTACCAATTATCACACGCCCTTCTAACACTCGTCCATAAACATTCTCTCACTAGGTTACGTTTTGATTTCACCTTATCATCATTAGTTTGGTATTCATGAGATATGGTTTCATGTTGTGAGTTTGGTACGTAACGTTTCTTTTGTGTGTGTGTGTGTGCTTTACTTTTTTTTTTTTTGTGAAGTCGTTTTTGTTTTTAATGAAGTTAATCCTTCTATAGTGGCTCTTTACCATTGTTAGATTAAGCTTTTTACGTCGATTCCTAATTAATTGATATACATTCTTCGATTTTATTATTTTAGGAAAACCACTTATATAATAAAGTCTGAGACGACATTGTTGATGCAATTTTCTTATCGATTTCGGCAGCAACTGTATTTTGCCTTCACTGTGTTCTTTTTGCAGTTCTAGCTAGAGTCTTCAAGCTCTTTCACCATTATTGCTATACAAAGCATGGTGATGATGATTGAAGCTTCGAGGAAGCAACTTTCAGTGATGATGAGTAGTTGAACGACTCCCGTGATAGAAAACCCGTATGTAATGTTGTTAGATTGTTTTTTCTGTTTCGGTTCTCTATTGTAAGAGTATAAATATTTTGTTTCGAACAGTATGTGACATAATGTTGGTATTCAACGATTGAATTCTACAATGTGTATTTGAATGTGTTGTTTAATTGTTGCGACTGATTGTCGTTACCAAGATAGCCCATTGATGCATAATTGTTTGGTCAGAGTTGAGAAAACCCTTTAGTTATCACCGGTCTATTTGATTTAGTCTCTCTAAATTCGAAAACAAGCCATTTGGGTTCAACAACAACCAAACAAAATCAATTTAGTCTTATTATTTTGATTTATTTTGATTTATTTTAATATTATTTTGATTTATTTAATTTATTTTAATATTTATTTTGATTTATTTTAAATAAAATCAATTTAATATTATTTTGATTTATTTGATTTGATTTAGTCTTACCAACCAAAGCCTCTGGTATCCAGAGGCAAGTTCGACCAGAGAGCCCCTCTGGACCTTAACAACCAGAGGCACGGAACCAGAGCCTCTGGTCCTTAACAACTAGACTCAAGGTCGTCCTTAACAACCAGAGGCAAGATCGACTAGAGCCCGTCTGGTCCTTATGATCAATTTTCCACTACAATGCAAGGGGTGCAACCCTTTAACTCCCACCAGGGTCATACTCGTCTTATAATAAGTGTGCATTCGCATCTCCTGACTTGTATTAGAACACAATATAAACCCCCTTATAACTCGATGTTACTTCCAATTACACTTTTAAATGGCCTGGTGACACTAAAATCACCAACACGAACACTAGAAGGGAACAAGGTGATGTTGGTTGATAATCTTTCTTGTCAACAAAGGGCCGACTTTGGGTTCGGGTTCATGGAGAAGGAAAGGGAAAATAAGAACTGATTTGGTGACGATTCGATAAGATACTAACATGGAAATTCGAAGAAATAACATGAAATTTGAAGCGTCGTTCATGAAATAATTCAAATTTCTAGATGACGGTGAATCAGGAAGATCGAATTTTGAAGCGTCATTCATGGAGAAGGGGTATGAAATTTGGGCCCTAAAATTTTGGGGGCCCTATTCTAAATAGTAGATTTAACAGGCCAAGAGACGGGCCGGTCAGAGCCAAGGTTTTTCACTCTGGGTCTATCTACCCCTCACCTATCTAACCCACTCTCGACACTCTGGGAGGGGGTGCGTTGGAGACCCATCAGCTAGACTTTGACCATTTCTCTTTTATATATTTTGGAACCTCCCTTCTTTCCTAAAAGGTTTTTTTGGAGAGTAAATCTAGGTGTTCCACATATTCACATAGACAAAGTGCAGAAAGCAATGTTCGAGTATGAGGTTTGTTCGACAACCATTGAAACATTGTTTACATCCGTAAATATATATATATATATATATATATATATTATGAATTGAGAAGTATGAGCTAAGTTATTTCACTTTGACTACTGTAACTGTAATCAAGTTTCCTACAACAAACATGGATGTTCTTGTGATCTTTAAGTGTCAATAGCAAAGAGACCTTTTTGGAATCTTGGTTCTGACGACCCTCCATAGGAGGTGTTGATCTTACCTCAATGTTTTCCCTCAGGTCTACCGCTTTTCACACCCATAAACAGATGAGAGAAGGGCGTAATGCAATGAACCACCGTCGGATTGAAGATCTTGAAAAGTACTCGGAGGCGGTTCAGGAAATCCTCTCACTCTACTTTTTGTGTTCTTGTATGAACACCGGTGTTCCAGAGAGATGTTTGTTCTGATTGTCAAGAGGAGGCATTCATTGCAGTTTTATCCAAGATGAGGTTGATCGGTGTGTTTCAGGGGGTCTTGGAGATTCTCCGAAATAGAGAAGTATGAAGATCTTGAGACATTTATCTTTTTCATTCTAGAGTTTGCTTACACGATGAGAGTAGCTGAAAATATAGCTTTAAGTTTTGGTAGTTGAAGTGATCAAAGGAAAACATCCTCATGATCTTATTGAAGTTCTGTTATCTCCATTCTCTAAGAAAGTGGATTTGAAGTATTTGTTGGATCACCGTATAGCACCCCCCCCCCCCCCCCCTTCATTACAAACTAAGATGATATTGGAATCCGTGATTATGATCGCAATAGAATGTCTACAAGCCATTCCAAAGAGAAGGCCAATAATGTATCAACGTCAAGTCTCCACAAGCACCTAGCTCAACGGGAAAGACTCTTTCACTAGGTTGTCTTTTGATTTCACCTTATCATCATATGTTTGGAATTCATGACATGTTTCATGTTGCTTGTTGGTTACTTAACGTTGTTTTTGGTGTTCTTTAAATATTATATTTGTTTCTTTTGTGAAGTCATTTTAGGAAATAACGATATGTATGTGAATGTGTTTAATTATTAGGATTGATTGTCATTACAATTATTTGGTCAGAGTCGAAAAAACCCCTTAGTTATCATCAGTCTCTTTCAACGCTCTAATACTTCTACAAGCAAGAAGGCATAAAATAGATCTTGCAAAGCACGACAACTAATTAATACATTAACTGTCAGTTTCTGAAAATGATCAAAGAACCATAGATAAGTTAAAATCATGCAAGTAGAACAACAATATACTTTAAAGAAGAGTGCGTGCTTATAAACGTTTCGATTCAATATTATCCATTCACTAACAAGTCATCGTTATAAACGATTTGATTTAGTCTCTCTAAATTCGCAAACAAGCCAGTTGGGTCTCAAATGGCGTGGTTAGCGTTCAAAATCACACATATGAATCCAGCAATACAAGCCACTAAGGATGGAAATAAGCAATCCCTAGCACGTTCAAGAGGAATGAATCCAGCATCACAAACGAAATCACGACAAGAATATCCATCAATCAGAACAAAGAATTAACAATCTGTATCAAGAATCATAACAAGACGAGCCCTAAAGCAACTAGAAAGTAATCCGTTTGAATCACAAAGACTTCTTGGGAAGATGTGAGAGAGAAGTTTATGTAAATCGAATTTCTTAACTCCAACATCGTCCACAAGGATCGCTCTTTGTCAAGAATCATAATTCAAATGTTGAATACCGCAAATATAAGATAACAAAAACAAAAATTGTCTATGTGGTCTAAATTTAGAACTCAAGTATGCAATTATATGGTGAAAAAGGATTACGAGTGCCAAATTTGCTTTGCAATAACTTCTATTAAACAACTTGGTAGCTCTCGGTTACCAGCTGAATCCTCTGAGAAAACTTAGGAGCAGCTCCACCTTTTAACGGCACAATGTTAGCAACCTACAAACATTTCTCATTCAGTTAGTTGATATACAAGTTTTACATGATTATTTCGACAAAAGATTTAGCACGAGGATAAGAATCAAAGAAACACACAAACTGATGGCACCCATCTTAGAAGAGATTATTTTCAGAAAACACAAAAGTTTCGGGGTCATGTTTGACGACTATAAACTAGCTTATTTTTTAAACGTATTGAAAACCCTGCATTTTGATTACCATAAGCTAGCTAATGAGCAGACATATTGAATTGCTACTTAAGTGGCGTTTCAGTAAGTTTTAAGATCATTTTGCCAATTTCTTTCAATTATGCCCTTAATTATTTATTGTTACTAATTATTATTAATTAATATTTCATTTTTTCCAAATAATATTTAAATATTAATTAAATACTATCTTTGAAAAACAATTAATAAAATCTTTAATTATTAATTAATATATATTTTCAAAAATTATATTAACTAGTATTTTTTGAAATTTATTTATAAAATATCTAATTATTAATTAAATAACTTTTTAAAGTTAACAAATGCAAACTTTTTTTATTGTGTAATGATTATTCAAAATCATCAATTAATACGAAATTTTTTCTAAAATTTATATTTGATTATTCAAAATCATCAATTAATACGAAATTTTTTCTAAAATTTATATTTGATTATTCAAAATCATCAATTAATTTTTTGTTACTTTTTTTAATATGATGAAATATATTAGTGGTTTATTTTAATTATTGTATTATGTGATTTTAGAATAGAGTAACTTTTTAACATGTGTTTTAAAGTCATTTTATATTTGTCGACTAGAATATTAGCAAACTTTTACCAAATGATTAGTTAATCATTTAGTTTGCCAAACATAACCTAAGGTTCTATTTTGTTAGGGTAGGACACCAAGAAAATTATTGATTGGATATTTGAGAAGTAAATCCATGAAAAACATGCGAAAGAAGTTAATCCAGACCTCTGTGTGAGATCTACTGGGTTTGTTTGGTTTGGTTTAGTTTGATCGACGACAACTTGCTCTATACTAAAAATGGGTGGGGAAATGTTATGAGTACATCCTACCCTCCTCAAACCTTACGTGCCTGGGATTTACTTGGTTCTTTTTTGTGGATATCTATGAGTGGCTAGGGCAGCTTGAGAGCACCTCGACTAATCCTATGAACCTGAAGTTAATAGAGCAAACCCAAGATCTTAGGAGTTGAGCTCACTTGTTTGGTTTGCTTTGGTTTTGGTAGATGACAACTTCTTATATACTAAAAATGGACAGAGAATAGTTATGAAAGGTGGCATTGCACACATCATCCCTTAAAGATTCTTAATTTCTAACACTAAGGAAGAGGGAGTGCCACCAAAAGCTAGAAATAAGTGCAAAATCAGTTCAACCTACAAGTCTACAACCATAAAGAATTTTATCTTCAAGCTTGAGTAACCATTAAACGATCCATGAGATGGAAGGTTCCTACTTTGTTAGTTATGTCTGGCTCAACTGGCAAGCTAAAATTAGAAGTTGAAGCAAAGACTTTGTAGTAAACTCTATGGAAAAATATACAAGTCACTGGACAAACTTTAAGCAACAAAAAGCCTGATGTCTACTTTTTTCACATGGTACAATTGGCACACCTAGCCTAGGGCATACGGTGGCCAGTGCTACCACTTCACTGTCCCGACGTAGTGTAAAACAATTATGACTAGTGAAGGTGCCACTGTTTTGATTAGACTAGAAGGATACCCGCACAATGCAGCGAGATACATCTCGATTTTAGTGTTTAATTTTATTTGTCTCAGTCGATGTTATAATAAGTTTTATGTGGTTTTGAAAAAGCAACTATGTTTTTATTTTTGAATAAAATGTAAATATGAAGATATCATAAAAAATTGAGAAAAAATATTGATATTAGTACCAAACTAACTATTTACAATTTCTTTTTCTTTTTTTGTATATTTCTTTAACTCATTTTTTTATTTTTGGTTTAATAGTATAATTTTTTATAAAGATAATAATGAAGTATTTTATTAGAACTCAATGATTATCCTAATTATATTTTAGATTTTTTATATTTAAAATGATATGTTTATCCTCAATTTGATTATGTTTATCTGCAGTTAGTTACATGAATTCAAACATGAAGCTTTAACACAATTTACTTGTAGTCTTGAATTTTAAGTAATATGGATCAATAAACAGTACTTTATGTATAAAAAATAGTTTTTAAAAGTTTTTGTCAAATGTTTTATAATATAGTATAGATATGTGCGAACGTTTTGGTTAAATGAAACAAAACAAAGTTGCAAGGCAATGATAAGAGTGCTCCTAGAGGAAGAGAAGGTCACAAGTTCAAATCTCGTAAATAGATTTTGTAATATCTTTGTTTAACTAAAATTAGCAGCTCTTCAAGCCCTGCCCATAGCCCATCAATGAATTAGCTAGTCCAGCTTAGTTTGCTTAATTTCTATTTTATAACTATAATTAATTTTATATTATGGGATTATTTTATGACCCTGTTGCAAAAAAGATCTATGTCCGCCTCTGGTGGTAGATGGGTGCAATGTGTGTGTAGGGTGGGATGTTGTGGGGTGGGGAACATTGTAAACCGTTGGCATTACAAATGTTGACTATCAAACCATAAGTGGAGGAGATTCGGGGGTAGAAATGCATACCTTCATGTTGCTGAAAGTACTTGTTGCCGAGAAGCCCACCGAAATGGGGAAGAAGACTGACGTATCAGCCGGAGGAACAACAAACTCCATCGAGCCGCTACAAAGATTTCCATCACAATGTTATATGTTTAGGGAACTCATGACTACATAATTAAAATAAAAAAAAACAAGAGTAATTGTGCACTTGCCTGCGGTTGGAGTTATCAATGAGAAGTATAGACCACTCGAGTATTGAATTTCTAGAATCAAACCTGCACTTGGCAAAAAATGGATTCTTGAATACACAAAAGTAACAACATAATTTTAAGGCCATATTGGCAAACTAGCTGATAAACTAGTAGTTGGTTGATAAGTAGCCATTATCTGAAAATCTAGTCATCGGTAAATAAGCTAGCTAATAAACTAAATGAGAATGTAAAATGACCTAAGAGCACATGTTTTTGGTCATTTATATAAAATATTAGAGGCATAATTGGAAGAAAGTGAAAAGGAACCCCTTGAGAGTATTGAAACACTATGTGAAGTAGTCAAGTACCTATTCAAAAGATGGCTTAGTAGCTAAGCTTACCAAATGGGGTTTTTCAATAAGCTTAAAAAACAAGTTAGCTTATAATTGCCAAACATGTCCTGAATAAGCTTAAAAAGAGGAAATGAATGTATGTATGTATGTACATGTGTGCATGAAAACATGATCTCAGTAAGAGAAAGATGGTGGGACTACCAGACTAGTACTGTAACTTCATCAATCAAGAACAGTTTAATAAGAGAAAATGACTTCACCTCCATTCCCCATCAATTTGCCTCACATTCGGTGCCTCTCTAAGAGCTGGAAGAGGGACAGATATAACTACATTTTGTAAATCAAACATTGACGAAGCTTCATACTCGATGCTAACATAAGTTTCATTTCCAGAGACAGAGGGCCAACAGTTAACTGACAGACAAGACAAGTAGATTCAGGTTAGAATACATAAAAACATCATTCAAGATAGAAACAGACATATAAAAGAAACTTACTTGTTAATGGCACAGCCGATTCATCTTTGCTTTGCATTCTCCACTTCAGAAGACCAAGACCGTCACCAGATTGGCCAGCTGGAAATGGCCTGTTAGGATCTTTGGATCCCAGAATATTTTCATTGGAGAAGAGCTCTTTGTTGATGTTAGGATGTGTCTTGAATTTGATTTCTGGATTACCCACACTTTCAATCTGGACATCACATCATAATAGACTTGTCTTTAAAAAGGCCATAACAGTTTACACATTTAGCAATTAGAGGTGCTGTGTATGAAATTCTTTGTACTAGAAATATAGTGAAGGAATACACAAGGTAGCCATCAGACCAGCTATGTGATATGGGTCGGAGTGTTGGTTGGAAGTTGTAGGATCTTAGATGGACCTGTGGCCGGACAATGTTAGACAGGATACCGAACAAGGTCTTTCAGGTGGGTTGGGAGTTGTGCATATCATAAATAAGTTGAGGGAGAGTACTGTGGTGGTTTGGTCATGTTCGTATGTGACAAATGGCGGCTCGATTGAGGAGGATAGAAAATGTGATGGTCGAGATGGCTAGAAAGAGGGGTAGGCCGAGGAGAACGGGCTGAGTAACTGAGGTTGGACATGGCAGGTTTAGGCATTTCCGAGGACATGTTCTCTGATAGGAGTCATTGGAGATGCAAGATTAGGGTAACAGACTAGGGTTGGGGATCTGTAGCTAGCGTATATGGGAGTTGGAGAAGTAGCCGATTAGTGAGCTAGCAATTAGGTTACTAGGGTCCTAGGAATCTGTGGTTTCTTACCTTGGCTATGTTTTCTTGTACCTACTTCTATTTGTATGTTGTTGCTTGCGCCTAACTCTCTTTTCATGTCTACAATTCTTTTTCGGATCTTTTTTTTCGGAAACTCTCTTTTTTTTTTCGCAGACTTTTCACAAGTCAATGGTCTTCATAGGAACAACCACTCTCCTATTTGGGTAGAGGTCAGGTCTGTGTACATCCCACAACCCCCAAAACAACCACTCTCCTATTTGGGGTAGAGGTCAGGTTTATGTACATCCCACAACTCCCAAACCCCACCTCCGAGTGGGATATAATGGGCTCATTTGGTTGGGTTTTGGTTTATAAAGTGGAGTCCTCATACACCAATGCTTACCTATAGAGAGCTCTACCAGACACTATCGTTTGCATCTACACAATTTTAAAATGTAACCCAATGAAACTGCTTAATAAACACAAAAGACCTGGGAATTCCCATCATATTTGTTTAAGCAATATAACTCAAGTCTCTATCTAGTTGAAAAATCAAAGCTATAGAAGAATAACAGTAGCACAACGTTTTAGCAGCAGCTATGCTGTTAATTGCGGCGATATCTCGGTTTGTGGCCTTCTGCATAATTGTGGTGGTAAAATTGCGGTTGAAATTGTGGTAGCGCAATTAGCGGTGCAATTTACCGCAATTGTGGCCGCTATTTTGTGAAAATATCGTCCGATATTAACGCAATTTTGGTGGGCTTGGTTTTTTTTTTGGGCTTTTAAGAACTAGGTTTCTTATAAGACTGTTAGTGTTAGACGATTTTGATCTTAGCCTTAGACGACCACCACTTCTGTTACACGACTTCTGTTAGACGAAGACGACCACATCTGTTAGACGACTTCTCGATCTCCAGCCACCAGGCACACGACTTCTGTTAGACGAAGACGACCACATCTGTTAGACAACTTCTTGATCTCCAGCCACCAGGTACACAACTTCTGATCCGGTTCTCATTTGCTCAAGCAGTCCAGCTTCTGTTTGGTTTGTTGTTAGGACTTAGCTTTGTTAGGCCTTAGCTAAAGGCACTAATGGAAAGTAGAGAAGGGGGTCAAGTAATGATCATGTAAGTTTTCTTGGTTATGGAAAATGTATTAGCTCAAATGCAACTTTAATTCAAGTAATGATTTTTAAATTTATCAATTATCATTCAGTTGCACTCTAAGAAGAGAAACTGTCTTTTGCAAACGAAGTTGAATGATCTTGTATTCATTCAATATAACAAAAGACTAGAGAGGTGCTACAAATCTCTTAGGGATAACAAATCTTCAGATCCTATTTTCTTGAGAGATGTGGAAGAAAATGATGATTGGGTTGTTCCAACCGATGTGAGCTGCAAGAGTTTGTGGATGCAAGAGATGGCCTCCTTTGGTTAGAAGTACGAGAAGCAATGGGAGGTAATGAACAAGTTGGGCCAAGTACAAGAAATAAAGAAGCACTATAGGGATGATGATGATGATCACGTCGGAGATGGAGGAGAAGGGGAAGAGCGTGAAGCTAGCCTAAACGAAGAAGTGAACGTACTAGATGATGTTGACTCAGAGGTTGAACCTATTGCTTGCGATAGCTCGTTTATGAACATTTTTCCTATTTTGCAAATGATATGTTTATGTAGGCATATTATATATATAATTATATATAATTCTAAGACATATTATATGATACGCTATTGCAAATATCGGTCCCGACCGCAATTTCGTATTTTCACCGGTATAACAGCATAGAGCAGCAGTGAGATCCATGACAAATCTGTTAATAAAGTATGGTCACTACTTATCAACATTCTACCAAGCACCTACCATGGTTACAAGGAATTCACATGTTTGGTCAAGCCATAATGCACTAAACTATATTTTCCACTTCCATTATTCACATTCGCCCTGCATAAACATATATACTGGGATTTACAGAGGGGGTTGATCATATGTTCCAGGTCTAATTAAGGATAAAACTGGACTGCAAATTTTGGCACTTATTTACACTAGCTTTAACAGAAGGGCGGTAATGAAAAAACTGCACATACATGCAGGTTAAGAGGAAGAAAGGTTGTAGTAGAATGAGAACCTGAACTTGGATAAACCCATCATCCTGGTTAAGTATTTGGAGAGACAAAGTTCCCTGCACATCAAAGTTGCTGAGACCACCATCTCTCTTTAGTGTCACATTAAGCTTCTCTTCAACTGTCAAAGTGACAGGATCAGTAGGTGGTGCAGCAGCAGCTTTGCTTGGATTAGCACTTGGGCGTACATCCTCAACGATCATTTCACCTTCAGCTTTCAGTGATTCCAAAAACTGGTTTGTCCTTTGCGATTTGCCTAGCTTCATACCCATTCCTTTAGTTGGAGCACCAACGGCTGCAGATGGACGGCCTGAGTGGAACCGATGTAAACAAACATAACATATCAGCAGTTGGTTGAATGTACAGGTTGGAATTTCCAAAAAATATTGATAAGAATTTAAATAGCATGCCATCTTAGTGTAACAAATGGAAGTATAAATGAAAACAGGCACCAACCTTTAGGCTTGCTTGAGAAGTTGTCCACTTCAGAGGTTATTCCAAATCCAGAACCACCTCCAAAGGTATTACCACTTGATATACCCATATCATTGCTTAAAGAAGCATCCATTCTTCCAATTGAACCCATTGAACTCATTGACTGTAGAGATGAATAGCCACCTTTTTCCAGTTTCCCCCTCTCAATCTGCAGAAATGACACAAACTTGTTGTAGCAGAAATACAGGGGAAGGGAAAAGAAAATATAATAATTGGAGAGGAATGAGGGTCTTTTTGGACCATAATGACCTTACCTTGCTTTTATCGATCTCATTGGCTTTACGCTTCATAACATCCTTGGTGTCATTGATCTTGCTTTGCAGTACCAATTTGTGCAATCTCTCCTCATGACTCTCCATCTCACAGTATTGTCTGACCTGGGCAACAGTTACATTCTCCTTGTGTCCAAGGGAAATGACCTCATCAAAAGCAAAAATAAGCTCAAAAGCATGCTTGCAAATGATTTCTTCATCAAGAGAGGCAGAAAACTCAGGGACCTATGCATAGTTAAGAAATCAAATGGTAGGAAACTCTTGGTATAAACAAAGTACACCCACACCTCTTGATTTTTAAATATTATAGTCGAAATTTGGTAATCCTCATGCAGAAACAAGAAAAAAACTAGTTCTTCATCATCAAGGATACAACTTTAGAAAGAAGCCTCAGAGTATCAAGATCCTCAAGAATATTGCTTTGCTTGTTTGTCACAAGCAGTAGATATATACCCTCCATTGGCTGGTACACATAGCGCACATTTTCTGTCTCAACATAAGTATGTTGTTTCCCACTTCCAATCAACTTAGGAAAAGCTGCAAGAAGCCCCTCGATTCTTATTCGAGACATGTCCACAAACTGCCTTGAAACAAGCGCTGTAAAAGGATCGTATATGATTATTAGTTAATAAAATATATTTACAATATCAAACCTATAATGAGGTTTATAACACTTTATCATGGGTAGGGCTTTTATATAGATATCAACAGAGACTAATAAACTGATCAGCAAATTAACCGAACTATTCTTGCATTGGATAAAATACATGTTTGGATGTGTCATAGCTACAGCTGTTTTGATATATAGCTTTCCCAATGGGAATATTTTGTCTATTCTCGCTTGCATGTCATGCTAGACCCTCAGGACACCATAGGGGATGAGCATCTGTGCTTAAATCACAATGATCCAATCAAGCCTATATAACAATGCCAAATGATAGGAAGTACAAGATGGTGGGGCATTCTCAGTGTCAGGTCCATTGGCACCAACATGTTACTAGATTAGTACATCAAAACAGATGCTAATAAGTCAACCTCTGAAACTAAAAGTTCTGTAATATGCCTATGAAATGCTTTTCTTGACTATGTTCATCAAATCTCCAAGCATCAAACAGCTATGTCGGTTAACTCTTTATACTAAAATGCTGTCACCCGATTTGTGGATGTCATTAATCATCATACATTCAGAACATACAAGATTAGAAGCAGTAGAAAAACCATAGAATATTCTTAACCGGTTTAATTCAATTTCAAACGCAGAAAATCCACACGTTTAAATTACACCTGATCTTGTCGAAGGATCTAATACATAGACAGAACGAAACAAAGATCTCACCTTTTCCAGATTTACTGGTTATGGAAGCTGCTAAAACAACCTATATAAAGAAAAAAAAAGAATCACAAACCAAATCCAAGCTCCAGAAATCAAGAGATCAAAACTGATGCCAAAACTGCAATGCAATTTCAGATTTAAAATTAACAATTACGAAATTCAAATTTCTGATGAGACTTATTACCATTATGACCGGTATTTGGATTCAACAACTAATGAACCAAATGCAAATACACCAGCAGACCTACAGAATAAAGTAAAACAGATCAAGGTATTAGATCAAAAACGTTATCGAATAAAAAGACGGAGAAGGTGGTAATGAGATCGCAGATATGTAAACGCTCCGACGAAAGAAATGAGCGGAGATCCGGCGAATGGCTTGAATCAGAGGACATTTCTGATTCGAATTCGAATAAAAAAATCCTCCGATCATACAGTGAGACTCTGAATCCCTCATTTACCAGGGCCTGAAACAACGATTCAGGGGATAACGTTTACAAGATTGCCTATTACTCTCGTTGAAGTGTTCTTCGATCTGCTGCTGTTCCTTCGATAGACAAGAGAATGGGGTAGCGGATGAAGATCTTGTTTATAAAAAAGCTTCTAGTTTTTCATTTATAATTAGAGTGAATTACTCTAGGGGTTTCTTAAAACATCTAATGTTTATTTATTTATTATCAAAGTTTTTATCAAATTATTTCATGTTAAATTGGAGTTTTATAAATAAGTGTTTGGATTAACTTATAACGATATCAAAATGTAATAAGTTGATAAGTTATTTTTGTTGTTCGGCAAATTTTACTTAGGGGTGTTTAGGATTGCTTATTTGAAACAACTTATATTTTTTTATAAAATCACTTATCAACTTATTATAAGTTAGAACGTTTTAACTTTTTCAAAAAAAAATTATTACTGGTTTGACACCGATATAAGTTGGTTATCTAAACACTCAAAAGTGCTTATTACCTGTATCACACCGAAATAAGTCAATAAGTTATTTTTATAAGAAATCTCAAACATCCTTTTATACACGTAAAATAACAAAAAAAGACATTTCTCATCTCCCTGGATGATTCTTGATTATTCATCGATATTTGGATAAACCTCATCTCCATCTCTCAATTTCCCATCTTCGATTGATATCGTAACCATATCTCCTTTAACCTCCATAGATGATTTTATGGGTATCCATCAACATCAGCCAGAGCATCCTTCTGATTATCTCCATCTTTTGCAAAAAGGGGATTAAGAAGTGAACGATACCGATTTTGTACGTAAATCAAATTTGTTTTGATCAATCAATCATCATCTTCGTTGATTTCTACTGATTCTGCTGCTATTCCTACTGTGTATGTTCTTGGTGTTTGTGAGAGAGAGAGATTCTCATCTATGGAGATGATGCAGATGGTGAAACAAGAAAGAACACATGGAAGGAGATGAACGTGACCAATGAAAAGTATTAGGTTTAGGGTCAAAATAATAAACTTGGTTTTTAAAGCTGTTAAGTTGTTTCTGATAAGTCATAAATGAGTAACCTATCAAAAAATTCTTATTATTGGTTTGACACCAGTATAAGTTTGTTTTCTTCCATCAAAACACTAAAAACTGCTTATTATTGGTACTACATTGGAATAAGTCAATTAACAATACAAATAAGCAACCTTAAACACCCTTATAATCAACTCCAAAAATTGTCTTAATTCACATATTTTGATTTAAAAAAAACATTTTCATTAAACCCAAATTTGGATTTGGACTATAGAATTTGTCAATTTAGGTTTTTATTTGATTCATGTTGTAATGTACGTATTTTTTTGGTCCTCAGAGCATTTTCTAAGCATTTGACCAAGAATTCAATTTTTTAGACTGTTAAAAAATCTCAAATTTAGAATACCAATTTTCTTAAAGAAAAATTCATATATCTCTTCGTTTGGACATTCAAATATGCAATTAAATTAATGGAAATTAAGTACGGTTAACGTGAAATTAGTAATATATAGTCAAGCTACAAATAATTAAAATAATAATCTATACTATGTTATAAAACATTTGATAAAAACTCTTAAAAACCATTTTTTATGTATGAAATATTGTTTATTGATGCATATTATTTAAAATTTAAGATTACAAATAAATTATGCATAAGTACAACTTACTAAAGTTTCATGTTGAATTCGTGTAACTAACTGCATATAAACATGATCAAATAAAACTTCTCATTTTAAATATAAAAAATCTAAAATATAATTAAGATTAATTAAGTTCTAACAAAATACTCAATTATTATCTTCATAAAAAATTATATTATTGACCCAAAAATAAAAAATGAATTAAATAAATATACAAAAAGCGAAAATTTTTAAATAGTTAGTTTGTTATTGATATCATTTTTTTTCAAATTTTTTTGATATTTATATTTATTCAAAAATAAAAATATCATTGTTTTCTCAAAATCACATAAAACCGTATTATAAAACCACAACTGTAATGGTAAACTGAGTTTGACATTTTCTTTGTCTTCCAACTATGTTCATAATATTACTGAAATAATGATATTAAAATCAAACACAAAAAAAATGGTTAAAAGACCAATTAAAATGAAAAAAATATTCATTTGTGCTCATTTGCTTACTAATAAACTCTTTGGTCCCATTCCTTCTAAATTATGAAGCCTCACAAATATTTTTTACCAAACCAAGGGCTATGGGGACTTTTTATAAATATTCAAGGGTTGTTTCTGAAAATATCTATTTCTTATATCTCCATAATTCATGCCATCCCTTCTCCAGAAAGCCCTAAATCGACCTCCAGTAATCTCGAGAAAAATGTCGCATTTCGGAAGAGCAGGTCCTCCTGACATCAGAGACACCTATTCGCTCCTCGTTCTCAACATCACTTTCCGTAAGTTGATATCATTCCCATATTTGATTCGTAAAATCCCCAATTTCTCTGACGATTTTTTTCCTTTTCCCCAATTTTATGTTTCAGGTACTACTGCTGATGATCTGTTCCCTCTTTTTGATAAGTATGGAAAGGTTGTTGATGTTTTCATCCCCCGAGATCGTAGGTACGATTTTTCCCAATTTAATTCATTGTTTCACTAGCTGAAATCCACATTTGTAGAATGATATTGTCATTATCCGGTGACTTTCTCGTGTAAAATTTCATGCACCTGCTATATTTCGTATTAAAATTCTATATATCCTGGAAAAGATCTGCACCTCTTTTTAACGTAGCTAGCAAAATTTCCATTGAAAGGCTTGAAATTCATATGTGAATTTGAATGATAATCTGTTTGCCGTTTAGTATCATAATTTTGTTTTGTTTTTGGTATTGAAATGGAGGGAGTTGCATTTCATACATTTTCATTTATGTTCGGAATTAATATTAGTTTTTGTAAGTTTTAATATGAAAAATGGCTGCTTTAGATGGTTTTTTTTGGGTGGAATGCAAGTATTACTATGTGTGCATAGTGGGTTGATTTGGATGTTTAATTATTCTGGTGCTTACAGGACTGGGGATTCTCGGGGGTTTGCCTTTGTGCGGTATAAGTATGCTGATGAAGCCCAGAAGGCAGTGGAAAAACTTGATGGTGATGATTGTATTCTTATAGTTGCTTTTAATGAATTTATGAATTTAAACGTATTTCATGCATACGTTTCTGTCTTGTTTCAGGAAGGGTTGTTGATGGGAGAGAGATGATGGTTCAATTTGCCAAGTATGGGCCAAATGCTGAACGAATGTGAGTTACTACTTATTAACTGCCGAAGTGCTTTTACATGCATAAGTACACATCCAAATATATGATTATTTGCATAAGATTTGAAAACAATTTAAAGAAGAATCAAGACTTCTGCATTTACATGGTTGTGTTCTTGTCTTATTCACACATCTTTATGTATCTTTGGATTTTTATATCATATTTTTGACAATTTAGAGTTTTTAAAACCCATAGGTTAGTCTTTTTAATTAGATTGAGCTGTTGATATGAGTTGGGTGGTTCCTATTTTGTGCTGTTAGTCATAAGGGAAGAATACTGGAACCGGTGGAGAAGCTGAAGAGGATGTCAAGGAGTCGAAGTCCTAGGCCAAGGTAACAATTGTACATGCAATGATAGGCATTGGAATATAACAGCTAGTTACTGCTGTAGCTTTAAATGTGTTTGTGAATGTTCCAGGTACAGAGATGAATACAGGGACAGAGACTACAGGAGGAGAAGCCGTAGCAGAAGCAGGGATAGGTACGATCGTGATAGGCATCGAGGAAGGGACAGGGATCGCTACCATAGTAGGAGTCGCAGTAGAAGTCCTGATTATGGCAAAGAGCGTAGGAGAGGAAGATATGACTATGAGAAAAGCCGAAGTCGGTCTCCTGACAGGTATTAAGATCCTCGTACACTATAGTTAGAGCTGGAAATTGGCCTAACATGTTGGGCAAAGAATCACTTATCTAATTTATGATCAAGTTTTATTGGGCTGGAGTCCTCTGCTAGAAGAACCAGTTATCTAACTTATGATGACTTCTGTAAGCATTTTAGGCTTAAATCTTGAAATTGTTAGTTTTGGAGATTGGTACTAGGGAATGCTCAAGTTGGACTCAAAAGAAGACTCGAGCTCGATCCATCTTCCAAGTTTTGTTTCAGCTCTTGCTATAGGATTCCTCCTCCTTTCTTTTTCTGTTGTCTTTTAATTTTATATCAAGAATCTGATGGAAAATGGATTGTATAGAAGTGGTTCTCCGACGCATCATAGCAGCCGTCCTCGAGGGAGCGTATCTCCACATCAAACACCTTCTAGGAGCAGAAGTCCTGTAGCTCTCGATGACAAAGAACGCTCACCTCCTCCAAGAAGTGTTTCCCCCCGTCGTAGAGCTGATTCACGAACCCCTTCTCCAGTGCCTTCGAATGCTGATGTAAGGATTTTGCAACTTATTCTTGACTACTGGACATGACAAGCGATACTGATTTTTATATTTTCTTTTGCAGGAACAAATGTGAACCAAGTATTTGATGTTGCATCTGCTGGCTTTTGTAGGAGAGGAACAATGCTGAGTTTCTATTTTATGATCAATTGGATGAACTCTAGGACCTCATTGCCTCAGGCATATTAAGGTCAAACTCTTTGTGATGTATCTCTTGACTTTTATTTTGGTGGTTTGCACTCAGATTTTCTTGTTTATGCCATATCAACCGTTTTCCAGCTATTCAGGAACATTATGTTTGAGCTTTCCTTTTAACAAAGGAACTCCACATGGTTTTCTTTTTGTTTCCCTAAGTGTTTAACATTCTATATTTTATGCATGCACATTGCTTTATATTAATGTTTCAAACTGAATTTCTTTGGCATGGACCATGCAACATCTCCGGAAATTTATATCTGGAAGAGTTTATGTTGCCGTTGGCGAGATGGTGAAGCAGCCGTTGGTGCTGTTTACCTTGCAGTGGTTGATGTCTTATCTTGCTGATTGCAAACTATGTGAGAACATCTTTAATGATCTGGGTGGTAAGAGTCAACAGTTTTTACTGCTGAAGTCAAATCCTAATTTGACTCTTAACCTACTCGCTTTTCTTACTTTTTACTAATTATATATTTTAGACCGTAAAAGGAGTTTTAGTAGCTGGATGATTTGAAAAGTTGGTTGGAGTCAAGATTGACTTAAATGTGGCTGATGCAGTTAGCCGTGAAGTGATGAGCGTTAGCTTTGTAGATAGTTTATTGCTGCCATGTTGCTGATGGCTATCAAATCTGATGCTTGGTTCGGTAGCTGTGTTGCAGCAGACCGTGCTTATCCTTGCAGAGGTTAATAATGAAATATCATGTTCTTTTCAAGTTGGTCTGTTTCTTAGAGATTTTGGTTTATGCTTTTCTTCTTATGTCTATGTGGATCATGTCTTAGTTATCACGAATTTTAGTTCATAAATTATCCTATTTACCCTTTCTTCTTATTGTGGAACCCTTCACTTTACGTCAACTTTAGTATTTCAGGTTTTTTACTATATGCCAATCTTGCTCTTCCTGCTTGTAAGATGTAGTTTTCCTCCTGTCCTATTAGTTTGTCGGTACAACGCTCTATCTATACCCCATGTTTGTTTCATCGTAGGTCACTCGTACTATACTTGTTGCTTGTTTGCACTCACTTCTCTGCTACTTCCTGCACTTGTTTCCTTATAATTCTTATTTTGCAAGCTGGAGGTCTTCACATAAACAACCTTTCTACCCCATGGGGTAAAGGTAATGTTTACCTACATCCTACTCTCCCAAACCTCATTTGTGTGGGATATACCGTGTTTATTTTGTTTGGTTTTTTCCTGTTGAGGTCTCCATTCTTGTTGCATTATATATATCATTTACCTTTAATTTTTTTTTGTGTAATTGCTTACATTCCCTAGGCTACAGTTTCCTAATTTTTTATTAACGGGTATATTTCTCTGTAATCATTTTAATTGTTTTGTCTAAGTTTTAAACCGAAAAATCACCGCTGTTGTCTTTAGGTTTCAAATGGTTTAGGTATCATCTTGCAGTTCTACACATTTTACTTGGAGAATTCGGTGTTTTGTCAACTTAGTTTTCTGAACCTAAAATGTGCGCATAGTAAAGCTTGATATTCTCTTTTGGCTGTCTGTAAATCTAGTTTTGAAGTCTTTTAGGGATGGATCGAGATCGGTTTGAGCTAGTTACAAGCCCTGCTTTTAGATTATAAACCAGATGCAACCTTCATTGGTAGGCATCTCGTAGGTTTTAAAACCAAACTGAGAGGACCTACTAGATTCCATGCAGAGGTAGGGTCCAGGGGTGGGATCTATATTGACCTTACATATATATCTCAAAAGTGTATTTAGGGGCTGTTTACTAAACAATTACCGGGTAAGTGCGTACCTATATCACTTACTTTATCGATTGAGCATGGAAATGACTAAATTGTCTTACCCGGTAAGAGGCATAGCAAGGACCGAAAGTCTTACCCGGTAACCGAGGGAAAAGACTCTTTTCTGGTAAGCGCTTATTGGCTTTAAGACGCTAACGAACAATCCATTTTAATGGTCAAGAATGTTACACGATAAGGTGATGGTGATTTTTTTTGCCGGTAAGCATTTCTCCGGTAAGTGTTAATAAACGGCCCCTTGGTCCGTTGAAAATGCATAAGTTTATTAAAGAAGGCCTTGTCTAGGAAGTATGTTCTCTCAAACAAGAACAAGGCTTTTTGTAGCTACAAAGGTATTGTATCACAAGGGAGCTCATGTAATTGATCCAAATTTGAGTTTTGTCTAGGAATCTTAGGTTCTTATTTGTTAAACACTCACTGCTTCTTAACGGATAAGTGGTGCTTACCCACGCCTTTTGACTTACAATGTCGCTGATTGAGATGGTGTTCCGGTAAAGATAAAGAACCTTGCCTACTCGGTTGGTGCTTACTCAATTTGTACCGGTAAACGACCCATTGTTTAGAGGGATTATAGGTATGGAAAGAGGAAGTCATATACTCTAGTAATTTGCTCCTGGTCTTTAAGACCGAGGCTCTTTGCAAGGTGGTTTTCTTTATGGTTCAGATTTCGTGGTTGCCTTACTTTTCTTGTGTTAATGTTCATCCTATCGTAAGAAATACGTCATTGTAGTTGACAAATACTTAATGAGGCCAACAATACGAGAAATAATCAAGAACAGAGAAAAATATGCTATATCATAATCAATACAACACAATAATTCGTGTCGCTCTCAAGGCCCATTAATCAACAACCGGAGATCGATTAAAAAAAGGTGGAAACAAACAAATAAAAGATGAAATATTGGTTTTGATAAAGATGATGATCAAGTATCATATGGTATTAATAAAGCTTAATCATTATTCTCGATCTGAATGAATTTATCAGTTCATTATTAATTAGTTTTACTGATTCAAATAGTTTTAAGAAATTACGCTATACAATAATTACGTGTAAACTTAAAATTAAGCAATTATGTATCACCAATTAATATCTAATGTTTAATAAGTTGTTTTAAGATCACATTATAATAAAATTGGGTTTATAAAATGCCAAAAATATCTAATTGTCTTAAAACGATACTTTATAGGTTTAAGTTTATAGACCAAACTATAAAACTTCGTATCTAAAAGTGTTGTAATAATTTTATAGGAGATGTTTTGGGCGTTTCAACAAGTTTTTTTGTGACCTTTTAAAATAAAACGTCGTATTAGCTATTTTCATGTGACATTCTTGAGAAGTATTCTGTAAACTCGTCTTTTTATATGATAAAACCGTTAATTTTTGTGATTAACAAACTCTGATCTAGAAATTCATAATCATACAAGTTTGATCACATTGGTTATTATTTAATACATACAACCATTCATTTCTTTTTTTCTTAATGACTATCCTTAATCATAATTAAGAGATTTATATACAATTGTAGCATGAACATAAAAACTATGCTTATGGATGCCTAATTATCCGATGCATGGTATGTTTAGAGTAAAATATCTGGAGTTATACACGAATATCAGAACATACGTATTTTCAAACAATGAAAGAAGAAATAAGAATCAGTTGTCTCAAATTCTATATGTCTTATCTGTTCACCAATCACATACAATCACTATAATAAAATCGGGTTTATAGGACACTTACAATTTTTAAGCGTCATAATAGACTTCTTTATATGAGTTAATTTATAGGACCAAAAAAAATAAATTGTTTTATCTAAAGATGTTGTAATAAGTTTATATGACGTTTTTTGATGTAGTAATAAGTTTTTTTTGGACACTTTTAATATAAAGCGTCCCATTATTAACTTTATAAGACACTATTTGAAAAAATATCCTATAAAAACAAATGTTCTATAAAAAAGTGAGTTTATAGGCTATAACGTTGCCAATGCGACACTTTGTATTAAAATTGTCCTAAAAAAATTGTTAAGACGCCCAAAAGCGTCATATAAATTTATTACAAAACCTTTAGATTGGACGCTTTATATTTCGGTCCTATAAATTATGTCCTATAATACTGGTGCAAAAAAAACCGTCAACCCGCAAAACCTGCCCAACCCAACCCGCTAACAACCCAATTAAACCCAACCCACCTAACCGCCAAACCACCCATCCGCCAAACCGCTAACCCGCCAATTAGGAGGGTTGAAATTGGGTTGGGCCTAGCTCAAACCGCCCAACCCGCCAAATCACCGCTAATATATAATTTTTATAAAATTATATATATATATATATATATATGTTTATTATGTGTGTGTATATATATATATTATATATATATATATTAATAATGTATAATTTTTATTGATATTATGTTTGTATTTCATTTTAGCTAAACGTATAGGTTGCTAAAAAAGATTCACTATCAAAGAATGATGACAAATAATCTAATTAATAAGAGAAAATTATTGAAATTTTTTTGCAGCAACAACAAATTGATATGTCGGAGAATATGAATGATACTAATAGATATTTTGTTGACGAATTCATCAATCTAAATACCCTGTCATTTGATGTTGTACTTTAGTGGAAATAAAATGTTTAGTTATAGCATTTCGCTACAACAACATTAGATCTTATAGGATGTCTAAAATGTCTAAGCGTCCTAATATGATTCTTTATAGGAAACAAGAAAAATGTCTTATCTAAAAGAGTTACAATATGTTTATACGATGATTTTGGGCGTCCTAACAAATTATATAACGCTTTTAAAATAAAGTATCATATTAGTTATTTTATACGACACGACTTGAAAAGTGTATATGAACATAGATGTCCTATAAATAGATGAGTTTTAGGGACACTTGTCAAAATATTTATATAAAATAACTAATACAACATTTTATTTAATGATTATTCTAAAACACTTGTTGAAGCGTCCAAAAACGTCATGTAAACCTATTGTAACCTTTTTAGATATGACGCTTTATAGTATGGTCTATAAACTTAAGTTTTATGAATTATTTCATTCGTCAAATTTATGTAACTACTAACCCGCCAATCCAACCCAATCCGTCTCAACCCGCAAGTGTTGGGTTGGGTTATACTTTTGAATGAGTTGGGTTGAGTTGAGATTTTTCCAAACCGCCATAATTGGGTTGAGTTGTAAAAATGTTGTAAACCGCCCAACCCAACGCGTGTGCACCCCTATCCTATAAAACGGTCTATTGACGATGTTTAGAGATTGAGGACATTCTATAAACCCAATTTTATGGTAGTGGTATCACTTATGCAATCCTTCAAGAACAAACGTGTCGTGTATTAGGTGTGTAAAAGTATTTCGAAAAGTCCAATAAGAATAAAATAATAAAGTCAAAGTCAAAGTTGCTTGTATTAACTATTAAGTAGGAATCACATGTGATTTGAATCTTGAAATTGCATTAAAATATGATGATTTTTCTTGTATAGATGATGTAAATTCAATTTTAGGATTAAAAGTTTTGAAATACGTTTATTAGCCATCACCAGCGGATTTTTAATCATCAACGTGAAAATCAGTTGGTGATCCGACACAAATCTATCGGTAATCTGCCACTAATTCGTTGGTGTCTATTGACGATCAGAGATGGTGTAAGTGAAGTGCAGGTGCCACCAGCAATTGCAACCGATTCAATTAAATCATAAAATTTCAAATCTGGACAATCCAACAAACCAAACATGAGATTGGAAGGGACTTGGAATGCAAATTACCCCAAATCCATTTCATTCCTTCAAACCAGACGTGACCTAAAAGATTTTACAAACAATAGGAACAATTTTGGAATAGATGAAGTTTAGAGACGAAAACTATTAAAACAGACTAAAACCGAAATTTTTAGACTATACCAATGAAATTGATTAATATATTAATGAAGTCAATTTAATTAACTAACACATACATCATCAACAAAAATTACTTAATAACATTCCGAAATCAAGATGGTGCCTGATTGGTTTGAGCTTGGCTCAAAAGGTCAAAAGTACCAGGAGGTCCCATGTTCAAATCTAATGAGGAATAAAAATCCCCTTGTGTCCACGGAGGTTCAAATGCGGTGACTCCGGGCTATCTGTAAAGCAGGCGATCCTCTTAGGATTAATCAGCTGATATAGCGGGTTGGATATCCAGGTTAATAATAATAATAATAATAATAATAATAATAATAATAATTTAATTATTTCATGTTTATTTTCATGTTTCAAAATGTGATATTGTAGTTGACATTTGAATATGTAAGTAATGAGACCACGAAATAGAATTAAGAATGGGAAGAAATAACAAATGATATAGTCATGAACATTTATTCAACTTTGAAGAGAAGTGTACGTAATTTGATGATGAACCAAACAAGTCGTTATTCTATTAAAGTTGACTGACTTTTAGATATAAAATATCGATACTAGCGGTGTGGATTAATTCATATATATGTCACTCTCGTAGCTTTTGGACGACCAATTCAAAGAAATAAACACCGGAAACAAACAAAAAAATAACTAAAAGATATATACGTTTGTTTAGTTTATTTGTAAATAGCTAATAGGAACACAACATTTTTGTTGTCGACCAGAGTCCTTTTTTGCTATATTTTGGTCGTATCGTTTAATTTGTTGCCGAGTGATTGCAAAACTAGATTTTGGTTGTAGGATTATGTTTCATGGGTTGGGTTCATGTGAGACCCGTAAGATCAATTTATGTTCATTGATTAACTTTATAAACTAATGATCTAAAGTTGTACGGTGGCAATTTTGTGATTATTGAGAAGCTTCGTGGCGTTTATTAATGTTCAGATTGTCAGATTGTAGATCTAATCCAAGGGTTGAGAATTGGTCTTACGAGTCTCACGAAAAACCTATGATCTCACATGATCCCAAGTCTATGTTTCATTATTTTCATTATACACACACACATACACACACACACACACACACACACACACACACACACACATATATATATATATATATATATATATA